CAGCAGGCTTTATTTCTGTGTCACAAAATTTGAAATGCCAACTGTTATAAATTGCTTAAATCTGTTGTGACTGGCATTCAAATGTAAGCCACATCATTGTTAAATACTTCTATATGGGACACAGTACTAATAGCAGTAGCACTATGTCAATAGCACTATTGCACCACTATTGCACTACTCATACCCATCCACATAAGAAGAACTAGTTGTTTCCATGACAAAACACAATCTATGCTGGCCAGGCAGGAGAGATGAGAGAAAGGAAGTAATTTATTCTTCATCATCTCCTTATTCTCCAGATATAAAGGGTTTTGTTAGTTAATTAAAAAGTTAACAGAAAATTTTAAGATTTTTTTTTTTCAGAGAAGAACACAGAATTAACATGAGCAAGCCTGGATCCCACTGGCTGTGTAACTCCCTCTTTATTCCCAGTGCTTCCTGATAATCCTGTTTTCTCAGTCCACTTACCTGAATTATATTGGTGTTGGGGTCAGAAGGACTAGGTCCCACATGGACTCTGAAAAAGGGAAAGGTGTTGTATTTGCCCATGAGAGTCTGAAGAGTTTGGTTAAAATCTTTTGCTTTCCCTCTGCCTGTGATATTCCATCCACCAATCTAGAGAGGGAGAGAGACAGCATGAGAGCAGGAGAGAAATATACTTGTTTGATCCTTATTTACAATTTTTTTTCACTCCTGTGAGCTCAGTCATTATGACAACTGAGAAAAAATAAGGTTAATGGCAACAGATGAAATCCATGAAGATTTCTACATACCCTGTTGGCTTTAAAATGACCTGTCACTTGCACTTAAGCAAAATGACAAGCTGCAAAATGACACAGTGCAGGGAAAAGGGATGATAATTATCAGCAGAACAGGGTGTACGGGAAAGAAAGGAGTGAAAGAGAAAAGAGGTCACATTTTTCTAAAGCCATTGAGAATGACAAACAGGGATCAGGGATTAAGGGTCCCACCTCCCTGACGGCAGCTTCATAGGCGGGCCTGTCGTCACTGCTCCTTGTGCTGGAAGGTCCTCCATCCTCCTTGGAGACAGAGCATAAATGCCCCTTGCTGACAGGAAGAGGAACACCTCTGCCTGGGAAGAGCAGCATTGTCCTCTTCGAGCAAGCCTCCCTGAAGCCTGCCGTAGTGGATGGCTATCAGATCTTAAACACAAAATCTCACCCATTTTGTGTGAGATGTTCCCTGACCTGAGTTGTATCCTACTGAACTGAGCTTCTCAGATTTAAAGTGCTTCCCTCTCTGTAGTCTTGGCTGCTGTATGGTTCTAAAGTAATACGTAAGGTCATGAGGATAAATTCAGAGATGTGGTGTCAGAAAGCCAAATCTGGGAGACAGCTTTCAAAGCAAGAAGGTATACTACTTAGAAGTTGGGCTGTGAACCAACTTCAGGGTCAGATGCTAGCAAAATGTATAGGAAAAATAATATAGGAATATCTGGAATATAGAAAATATAGGAATATTTTGTCAACACTTCA